TAATCCGGGTGTAATTCCTGGTCAAAAGTCCTTCACCCGTCCTAATGGGGATTGCATCCTCACCAAGAGGTATCTATTTCCTTTAAAACTTGTAGCCAACAACGGGTTCTTCCTAGCGGAAGATGCAAGTAGTGGTGCTAACCCAGCTTGTCCAAACCGCCGCATTTCGGAGCTGTCAACTGTTTCTCCAGTTGGCACCAAAACTGTTCTCTGATCGTCATTTAGTCTGTTCCTAGAGGTCATTGAATTATTCAGAATTCCATTTTGTAAAACACATCTATTGGGTGCTTTGGTACACATCATTAGTGATGTTTCTAGCCGTGGTTCATTAGGGGTTTCGGATCTTTCAACATCATACCCACACCCCGCGATGACCCGGCCGGTACTGTTAGTTCCGGTATCAAATTGTGTGCCATCCATCGGCTACAATTTTTTTTTCATTTTCCTCATCACATTGCGACTCCTGTTGGAAATTTATAATAAATAATAGATAACTTCCGGTTCATCAGCAATCTACGCTCTTCCATAAAAAAGGCAGTAATGGTTTCGATCTGGTAAGGAACATGACACGTTCGTAAGTGGTAAGTAACGATTTGTTTGCTCTCATTGAGATATACACATGCATGCACGCATTTCATGTTAATTATCCAACCGAAAAAAAACCCCCTTCTCCTGTGTCCACTTTGCATACACATATATCCATACACACACAAAACCGTAACCTTAATGGCGGGGGGGGTGCTAGATTTTTTTAGCCAGAGATCACATATCGTATTAAAATACAAACATAGCAAATATGCATCTTTTCCACTGTTTTTTTACGTTTATAAGATGTTTAGCAGTTTCTCGTTCAGTTGTTTATGGCTGTACGCCTTTACGCAATGAATGAGTATAGCATTAATAATGATGTTTTTTCTCTTTTTTACTTTTTAATTTAACTAAAAGTTGGGAAAAAGATATAAAAGAAAAGAGGTTTTAGTCTATTGTAATTTGGTCTCCCAAAAAAGGAACTCACATGATACATGAGAAAATCATTTTTTATAAGTGAGAATTTGGGGATCGCGAGTATATTTCTACTACTCCCAAAGTTATTTTGTGGATACCAATGTTTGGATAGACACCCAGTTTCCATAAACAATGTAAATTACCACTACTAGTTTGTATATTCAAGATACTTTCTATAAAGAAAATGTACTGTCTATGGCACAATCTTTATCTCCCAAATGTGGAAACTCATATATGGGTAACCACAAACATGTTTGCAGTAGTAAGAAATAAGGTCAAATAAGAAATCTATTGATTCCGTAGAAATTACAGTGTGTTCGGATTGAATTAGACTTTTTTTTTTTTTTTCGGAATGTCTGCTGTGTTTTTTCCTACAAGTCTTGTAGTCTCTGTTGCAGCTCTCCATTTCACATAATTTTGTTTTCATGGTGTCCAAAGATTATTGAGCAGCTGTCATGATTGCGGCGTTTTGGTGCTCGACACGAATCATCCTGAGACCGGTCACTTTTTTCTGATATTCAGGTAGATCCACTCGTCCATGTCAGTTAACTTTGATACATCTAAAACTGTAGTGATTAGGTTTCACAATGTCGTTTGTTTGCTGCTTACAGATATTCCAAACCAATTTGGAAAAATAAAAACACTAAACACTATCAAATTTAGCCCGGACACCCTGTGTGTGTGTGTATGCATGTATGTATGTATATATATATATAAATATATATATACATACACATAGAGAGAGAGAGAGAATTAATACAAGTAAAAGGTTTGCCCCTCAGTTGATTGACATTACCTTCAGCAATCCAACTCCAGAGTTTCGGAGACAGACCGTCTAGGAATCACTCCTTCCACTCGTCAGGGGTATCAGCAATTGATTTTATACTTTTCGATTTTTCTTTTCTTTTTTTTTTTATGTACTTTTCATTGGTGTATGTATTTTTCCATAGTGTATATGTGTGTTAGTGCACAAAATGTTGTGGTTATTTGTTCTGTTCGTTGTTTTTTACAATTTACACCCACTTCTTAACCTTCTCTCTCTCGTTTTCACTTGTTCCTTTTTTCTTTTAATTGTAGGTATATTCACTTACGGTTATATATATATATATATATATATATATATATATATATAAATAAAAGTGGACTTTGAAGTCAAAACCCAGAGGCAATAGTTTCTTTCATGCTAAGTGCAATCATCTGATGGTTTGATGATTGCTTTTAGCATGAAACAGACTATCGCCTTGGGGTGTTGACCTCAATGTCCACTTTTATATTTACATGTGTCCTATCCATGATATTGAACACTTTAATGTATAAATATAACATATATTAAAACTATATTTTATCATATATATATATATATATATATATACACGCACGCACAGAGGTGCGATGTATAAATTGTCGTCTAAATTATGCAAAATTGAAAATAACACTGACATCTCATTTTAACAAAATTACCTGAAAATTTTTTGAAATACTAAAGAGTAAATTTATTCAATAAAATCGCCATTGGCTTCTTCTACAGCCTCCAGATAATTTTGGAATCTCCTGCATCTCTTCTGGATGGTCTCCTTGTTTAAGTTGGTGAATGCTCCCATAATCCTTGCCTTCAGTTCATCTTGGGTGTTACAAGGAGTTCTGTTGGTCTTGCACTCAACTGCACCCTTCCCATAATAATCAGGTTTTTTTTTTAACCCTTTCACTCCAAGCAAGGTGGGGGGGTGTAACTACTATGCAGGGGGTTACAGGGAGTGAAACTGAAAGAATAGTGATTGATGTTGCATTTAAATTTTTGAAGATTGTAATTATTAGGGAAGCAAGTAAATGGAAGGAATTTCCACAGGCAAGGCAGGAAGTGTGAGAAAAGAAACAGTTGGAGTAGAAGTGGTGGTTACATTTAACTATTTCAAATGTAAAAGGATCGAACATAGATGACAATCTAATAGTACACTTAAATTCACATAGTCAGGGCACCAGTGAAAAAAGCTCATCAGAGCAGTAGCCATGAAAATATTTATAGAAAAGACAAATGGAAGCCACATCACAATGGTGCAAAAGTGACAGAAGTCGAGATGTGAAGTCAGGATCGATTACATTACAGATCCTTCTTTAGATTTTATCAAGAACCACAAGATGAATCGCAGGACCATCAGACTAGATATGGCAACAGTAATCAATACATGGATGAATGGTAGATTTGCAAATGTGCAAAATTGATCCTGATAAAAAATACCTTCTGGCATGACACAGAGACCCAACTTGCAGCCTGGGGAGTTAGGTGGCCAGATCTAAGGGGGTGATGTGGTTGTAGAAATTGTCTGACAGCTATGACTGGGTTCTCCTGCTTGTGTAGCATGGTGCAAAGTCCTGTTGCTAGACATAGTCTTCTAGTAGCCACCCTCCTGATCCAGGGCAGCACGACCTCCTCAAGGCCTGTGTGTGTTGAGTCTGAGGCCCTCACCAACAAATCAGGGAGATTGTGAGTTTTCCGAGTTGCTGTATTTTTGTAATCACCTTTAAACTCCAACTCTTTCCAAATCCTCTGCACTGTCTTCACACCCAAACATTCTGAAATGTTTGTATTGGAGCTTCTAACACAAATGCTAAGGAGTACAGCATGCCATTTTCAAATTTCTGGTGGAGTGAATTGCATCATGGTGGCTTTTTTGTCACAGTGTCCAACTGACCCTATTATACTGTGCAGTTGATAAAAAAACATGTATGCATGAAATTAAGAATATAAAATTGAAACAATTTTTCTCATTGCACCCTGTGTGTGTGTTTATACATACACACACATATATATATATATATATATATATATATTAATAATACAATATGGTAATCCATATGAAATTTCCAGGATGATATAGATCTAGGGAGAGCTTTGTCAAAAGACAGAGCAGGATTTGTTTGTAGGTCTGGAAGATTGAGAGCGGCTGTTTTTGGAGGTCTCGTGAAATAAAAATCATTACCTATGGAATTTTAAGTGTTTGATATTCTTTCATTAATATATATATATATATATATATATATATAAAAAGTGAACATTGAAGTCAACACTCAGAGGTGACAGGCTGTTTCATGCTGGGTGCAAGCGGCCTGAAGATTGCGTCCAGCATGAAACAGCCTGTCGCCTCTGAGTGTTGACTTAGTGTTTACTTTTATATTTATGGTTACATATGCTCTATCGCTGATATTGAGCACTTTATCCCATAAATATAGTGCACCTTAAAACTATATTTCTTCATATACATATATATATATATGTGTGTGTGCTTATGGTAACAATACAGTTTTAAGTGGGCTGAAGATTGTGTTCATGCATGAAACAGAAAAAAAATCAAAAAATGTTAGAGTTTGAATTTAATTTTCAAAATTTGACATCTTTTATTGATTTTTTTTGTTAGATTAAATAATAAAATTAAAATTTAAAATAAAAGATAAAATGTGAAAGAAAGATGTTGCAAAGCTTCAAATAATTTAAGTCATTATTTGGAGCACTATGGCATTTTAAAGTTGCTGTGTAAAAAGCCCCTCCTACCTTTTAAGACTCTAAAATAAGCTGAATGTGAGAGGGTTAAAGACAATATAAATCTTGCTTTTAAATATGTTATTACAAAGTGAACATTTTGATATTACAGTCAAAAATGATTAAGTAAAGTTTTGAGGTCATCATAAAATCTTCAGAGTAGCACATTTTCTTTTACTTAATGTCATAATGCTCTCTACCTAAATCTCTAAGAATTTATCCCTTATTTTGGGGTTTCTATAGAGACACAAGTGTCTGTGCTTTCTATCTCTATAAATTGTTCCTTTTGGCAAATACTAAGTCAATATTCTTGGAAAGTAAAGGTCCCACTGTATAATATTTTGCTGAGGGGAGAAGAATCCTTAGTGGCAATGCCACAACAGTTGAAGCCTGAATGTGTAGTTCACTGGTGTCAACTCTTGGCTCGATTTTGGAATGGGTAAAGACAATTTCTATAAACAGGAAAATGAATAGGTTAGAGTGTGAAAGAGAGTAGGGAAAGAAAGATTGTAGAAGAAATAGAGAGAGAGGAAGTTAGGTAAAAGAGAAAAAGAGGGTGGACAAAAGAAAATGGAAAAATACAGGTGAAAGAAAAAAGGTAAAGAAAACGAAGGAAGACAAGAGAGAAAGGGGGAAGGAAGACAAGAGAGAAAGGGGGAAGGAAGACAAGAGAGAAAGGGGGAAGGAAGACGAGAGAAAGTGGGAAGGAAAGATAGAATTGAATGAATGATTTGTATTTTACCGTTTATCAAGCCTTTTTCCGTTATTTAAAGCTTAAATATATTTTTGGGTTATAAAAATAATTCTCTTTTGCAAGTGAATATTGCATTAACAATTTTTTGAGAATAATAATGATTTTTCCAGAGAGAACTCTGATATTTAACCCATAGATGAGGGAGGAAATGGATTCGTAGATTTTGCAAGGGCAAAGATAGAAGCTAAAGAGCTGAAGGGAGAAAAAGTGGAAGAAATCAAAGATGGAATGAAAAGAGGCAAACAGAGAAGAAATAAGTTCAGATGTTTGAGAGCTGCAAGACAAGAACAAAATTAGTTTTTTAAGCATGTGTTAATAATTGGTAATATTGGTATAAATATATTTTCATAATATTTTCTCTTTAAAGCATTATGTTCTTTTTTGATAAGGCTGTCATTGATGAAATTAAAGTTATGTCCTACATTGTTGCAGTGTAATATAAGAGAATTTGAATGTTTATCTAAACACAAATATCTTTTGTGTTCCTTACATGAAGTCTCTCCAATGCATACATATACATTGGGGAGACTTATGGCCCTGTAGACATTTTGATTTGATAAACTCCAGCATTTGAATTATTTATTTTATTTTTTATCCTGCTTATATTTTCAATAGTTTTGGAGGTAGTTATGACAATCTTCATATTAAGGATGTCAAATTTATTTGCAAGTTGAAGTGTTGGATTATGAATTTTCTATAATTTTTTTTTGAATTATTTTTTGTTTGGCTTTATGGATTTTGTGAGCTCCTTTTTTTTGTGTTCAAGATAAAATGGTATGGATAGTGTACAAGTTTAAATGTGTCCTCAATATAATCCTCTTCTTCACTAATGTATTCTGGACTACATATCCTATAATTATTCCAGATTTTATTCTCCAATTGTGGTGAGAATAGAAATTGATAAGGTCATTTTTGTTAGTGGGTTTATGGTAAACATTAAATTCTAATTTATTATCGTTACGTATTAATAGGATATCAAGGAAAGGTAGAGAGTTATGTTTCAAATTTGTGTGTGAATTTGATGGTTGGTTCAATTTTATTGAGTTTAGTGATTACGTTCAAAATGTTAGTATCTTGGGGATAAAATAAGAACACGTCATCAATGTATCTTCAGTAAGTAGAGCTAATAGGTATTGATATGTTTAAATGTGGTGGATTTTGAGAATTCTAGAAAAATTGCAAGCAAGAACACCACTGATAGGAGACCCCATGGGTAAACCAAATTTTTGCTTGTAATTTATATCATTGAAAGAAAAGAAACAGTGGTTACTAATTAATTTACATATTTTTATAAATTTGCGGATGGGTAGAAGCTTATCCTTTGAATTATTGAGGCATTTCATGATGGGTATATTGGTGTATAGTGATTTAATGTCTACACTAGCCATAATCTCATTGTATCTTAGTGGCTTTATTACCTTTCTGGAGATGAAAAAAGAAGGATTTACAAAGGTAAACTGGCATGGAAATCAGTCAGAAGATTGGGCTATTGTGGGTAATTTAGTTTGCTTGCTTTCTTTTTCAGTCCTCTGCTCTACCAACTGAGCTATCATGAGTAACCTCTTCCTTATTCTTTCATTCTCATTAGTATGCATGTACGCCATCACACCAACAAAAAGTTCTGCCATCTTCCTCCCAGACTCGCTATTTATGCCTGCGTCGGGTGGGGGAAACTAAAGTTTTCATATGAGACTTACTTCTCGTTCGCCCGAGACTTCTGATTTCATAAATTCAAGCTGGTTTGAATTCTTAATCTTTTTTTTCTTTGTATGCCTTATTTTGGAATAATCCATTTCTCTTTTAATGCCAGTTGCGATCTTTCAACAAGACCTGGCAACGCCAAGCAAATTCTCATTCCTCACAGCTATGCTGACTTTTCAAATGTAAGTTTAGGGGATGTCACCTGCTTTGAAAATCAGGGTTAGATATTCTGACTTGAAATGATTGATTGATTTGTTTTTCATGGCTTATCAACCTTTTTCAAATTATTTAAATCCAGAATATATTTTCAGATTGTAAGAATATTTCTGGAAATAATCATAATTTATTGATAAAAGTCCTACTGATTAAGCCATATCTGGAGTGGGGGGATGAATGTAGATTCATCTCTCCCAAGGGTGGTTGCACATGTGAATATAATAAACCTGACTTGAATTGGAACTCCAATTCAAATCTGTTATCCATTATGCTACCCATAGATCCAAGCTTATAGTATTCTCAAGCAGTCACCTATCTAGGTTTTGACCAGGCTTGACATTGCTTAACTTTGGTGATCATATGAGAAATTTTGGCTTCAACACTGACCTCCAGCTTTAGTTGGGAATACACAACCCCTTTAGCCAGTAGAAAAACTTGCACCTGATGCATTCTTAGAATGAATTCTCAAAGAAAATGGGTACATTCAGGATAAAGGTAAGTGACCCTGTAGGCATGAAACTGGAAGCCATTTCAAACTTGGGCATTAAGCCTTCAACATATCTTTAAAAAGGAAAAAGAAAAGCTAAAGAGGAGATAATCATCTTGATAAACTCAATATATTCAGACAAGTGATTTTTCCCAAAGCCATAAGCAGACGTTGTTTGATAAAACCACAAGTCGATGAAGAATAACCTGCCGGCAATTTGAAGGTAGTTGATTGTTTTTCTGATGCCAGAGTTTTGTGTTTTTCTCCCTCAAGACTCACTTGCAATTCTCATTTTGTCATTGGAAATATAAAAGCGTGGTACTTGTTTCCCCTCTTGAATATAACTTTTGGCATCCTCTTCAATCAAAAGCCACACCTCCTCCATCAGCTTCAAGCTGCCATGTCTGCTTGATTCTAACATCTGTCTGATACTAAGAACATTAAAGCACGTTTGGCTTGAGGCAAGGGGAAGTAATCCTGTCAGGGTTACAAAAGGTTGTAGGGAAAAGAAGGAAACAAAATGGACGCATTTGTAGGTTTACTTCCTTTCAAGAAGTTCTTCACACTAGTCATGGGGTAGTGGAAAAATGTTAGAAAAAGAGAAGAAATAGTCACTGGACTTTCATGTTGAATTGAAAAATAATATGTAGAAGATAGCAAAAAGGAAATTTGATTTTAAGTTGTAGATAAAAATTTTAGGAAATTATGAAAACTTGCAAAATATAAGGATTTTATCAAGAAACAAATGAAATGGTGAACCAAAAGTCCATTTGCTTAAGAAGAGAATATAATATATAAACTTATATATATATATATATATATATCTCAAAATGGCTTAAACCTGAATCATACCGAAACACTGGTTCTTGTACAATCACTGAAGTTAAACAATGTCGAGCCTGGTCAATACCTAGACAGATGACTACTTTGATATGCAGGTGGTGTAATTGATAACGGTTTAGAAATCAGAGAGCCAAGTTCCAATTCTAGTTGGGTTTGTTATATTCACTTATGTGCAAATAGTCTCTGGAAAGGTATGAATCTATCTGTTCTCCTTCCAGCTATAGGTTAATTAGTAAAACTTGTATCCCTAGACCAATATTATCTCAAAAAGATTTCTTACAATCTAAGAATATATAATGGCTTTAAATAATTTGCAAAGGGTTGATAAGCCATAGAAAATGAATCAATCGATTGTGTTGTAATAAAAAAAAAAACTTTTAGCCAATTTAACTTGGCTGTTTGGGTATCAACCAAAGCGGTTAGTAGAACCAAAAAAGTTCAAGCAAGTAGTAATGAAAAACGGGGTCAGAAATCGAACATTCACTTCACAACAACAGAAATGCAAGTTGTCCACCAAGCTCACAAAAATCGTTTCTCCCGGTAAGCAAAAACAAAACCTTCATTTACCAAGCAATTTTTCTGATTGTCCATGCCATTTAGGGAGGAAAGAAAATTAACATAGTTTGATACTTAAAGTAGCAGATTTTTGCTAACTACTTATTCTTTAATTCTCCTTTGGTAGATCACACGCAAAACCTGAGCTCTTTTTGAAGGTTGGTTATTTTCTCTTTCACAACATCAATCAAAAAAACAAAAAAACAATTCTGTTAAACAAATGATGGCATCATTTTTGTTAAGTCCTACATTACTTAGTAGGACTTGTATCAGAAAATTATTATAATCTCCCCAAAATTTTACAGTCTGGAAAATATTTTCTGGCTTTAAATGACCTGCAAAAAGTTAAGCTGTAACAAACAATATATCAAAACAATGTTGAATAATATAATGACAAAATAAAAAAAAAATTATTAAACATGTTATATCATTTAAAAGAACTTCATTGAACATTTTAGTCTGATGAAGTCATTGTAAATGATGAAACACATTATATAAATTTTTTTCCATACTGACATTCTATTACCCAACATATGCTCAATGTATAAAGTTGAAAAATTTATTTACTATTCACATAAATAATGTAATAAAATAAAAAAATAAAAATGTAAAAAGAGAAAAACTCACAAAGTTCAACCAGGACTCAGCACTTGTTTTAGGGGTTGAAAAAATATTTTTTAAATAAATAAATTTTCAATAAATAAATTTCTCATTGTTCATTTTCAAAACTTTAATAAAAAAAAAAAGCATTCAATATATTTTGACGTCATATGAACTCACCTGATTTAATCCAAAATGGCTGATTTTTTTAAATTGTAAATAAATGTTACACAAATCACTCTCAGTAAAGGAAAGGAACAAGAATTTGTTAAAAAGTTTTTTGTCTTTGTTTTCCAGAATAGTAAAATAGATAAATGCTATACTACACATTTTTTTTTTTAAATTGCTTCTTTTAAATGAAGTTGATGTTGAGCAATGCAAAATAAAAAGGCAAAAATTGTGGTCAGCTTTGTGGCTTTATTTTGAGTAAGTACCCTCAAGAAGTGAATATCCGTTGTCATGTCAATGACCTGTCATTTGACAAAATCACTTCTTAAGATAATTAACCCCTTGTTGCTCCAAAGCATGCTGCAGTTGATATCTTTCATGAATCAAAATTTAAAGGAACAGATAGGCTCCAGAAGCTTGCATGTGGATATCTCCAGAGGAATTATCAACCACCCAGATTAACATTTACAAAATTTAAGTTCAGTTTTAAGATTTTCTGATTGGAATTTAGTTTTAATCATCCTTTTGCACAGCTTTAACCTTAAATGAAATTGTAAATAGAAACTGTTAGTTTTTGGCAGAAATGATTGGTACCTAAAGTTATTGGTGATCTACTTTTACTAGCAATCACTCCGTAAGATGATTAACCTCTTGTTGCTCCAAAGCATCCTGCTGATGGTATACAGCATTTAATAAGCTTGTTCCTAAATTTATTGACATTTTAGCTATTTGTTTTAATACTGCTGGGACTTACACAAAAGAAAAATAAATATAATATATTTTCCAATTTCCTACACAATTAGAATTTCATCAATTCTAAAAATTGATGTGTAAAACAGATATGCCCCGGAAAGGAATATATTTGAACGAAGTAGCTAAGTGGTTTTGGCTACTATAACCAAGTAGAATACAGTAGCAGTAATCGACTGGTACACATCAGTCACAGGTAAGAAGTGTAGATCAATGGCGTAGTCCAGTGGGCGTCATTATAGACTTAACTCTCAGACTAAGGCTCTTGACTCTGTCATACCTATACGTCCATCGGTATTTATGACGGACATCAGCCAATCATATTCCAGTGAGGGGGAACACAGGTGTATGCATATTCCATTATATCAAAAACCAAACTTGATGTTTCTGTATCCCAAGTTTGCTTATCATCCTGTTCATTGTTGGCTGTTATAATCTTTAGTTTTTTTTTGTTTTGCAATTAGATTTATAAAATACTAGTTTTAACCAGTGATGATTTCACAATTTTCCTATTTGAATTTTCTGATGAATCTTAGGCGGTACAGTGGAGTAATGGATAGTGGCTCAGATTGAGAAATCAGAAAGCTGAGTTCCAGTTAAATCCATTATATTCACTTACATGCTAATACCCTTGGGAAAGGTATGAATCCTCTGCATCTCCCCAACCCAGGTATGGGTAAATAGCAGGACAGACTGGATTCTATAAACTTGGATGGCAAATGGTCTACCACAGAAATAAATGGCAGGAAAAAAAAATCAGCCTTGTCAGTCATGTATTGAAAGATACATTATTGCCTAAGTGTGTATCACGCATGGCACATAACTGACTGACTGATGAATCTTAATTCTTCAGTCAATGCTTGGGTAAGCTCATGTTGAGTTTGTAGTGAGTCCTGTGGGTTCACTCATATCATACCAGCAGAGATAACCTTGTGTTCACAGGAATAAAAACATACAAAGAAATAAAACTAAAAGAATGTTAAATTGTAAATGAAAATCATACAGTTTAGTTTTTTGTGTATTTTTGATCACAAGTATTTTACGGTTGCATGTGATAAAAGGAAGTTACTTTGTATTAAAACAAGCAATGTTCTTGTTGTAGTGTCTTCATCCTAATGAGTCTATTATGGAGTCTTCCACTTACTATAAATTAGTAGGAAAAGTAAGCCTCAGAAATTAGTGATAGACTGAATGTTGGTCAACCGATACACACTCCCATGTTGTGTAACACACTTCTGTTGTATTTACTGTTCAAATACACTATTTATCTGTAACCTCTTGTTTTGTTATTTCTTAACCAATTACTTGGTCACAACAGTTCTGAAGAGAGGAGATGGATATCTTGACTTTTCAATGGTCATTACTGAAGAGACTGAATTCAGCGTCTTTTGGCACAAAGTCCGTTTTCCGGCATGAAATGTTTCTGCTGAGTTCTGGGAGAACTTTTATTATTATTTTTTATTTATTTATTTTAAACAAAGTTTTAATGTTATTTGTTTAATTTTATTTCGTTTATGATATTCCTTATTATTATTTTATATTTTTATCTATTAATAATAATAATAATAATGTCTCTACAGTCCTGATAAATAAGGCATTTCTGCTTTCCTTTAAAACTCTTATCTCTTTAACCTTCTCCTTCTATACTTCTCTCAACCTACAAGAAAGCAACTTTCAAATAAAAAGAGGAAGAACAAAATAAGACTGAACCCAGCCAAAAACACTGGAAGTTTACAGAAGCCAGGCCTACTTGTTTGTGTCTGAAAAATACCAAAAAACAGGAAGGCTCCATGCATAACTTCCATTATAAAAAAAAAAAAAAAAAATGAAAAAGAAAGGAATGCCAGAAAATAAAGTAATTTGGCCAATCAAAAATATTGATGCACAGTGGCTTTCAAGTTAGAACCATATTTATGCCAAATTGTCAAGCTTATTCAAATATTATAAAAATCTGACACATCTAGGCTATCACAGAAAGGAGACCAGAACACAAGGAGAGACAGAACAAAAGAACACAGTCATGCATGATGTGTGATGAAGCAGTTAAGAGGTCATCTGCTACTAACATTTCCACTCTGTTAAGAGATGAGAAAAAACACCACAGATTGACATCTAACTTAATTACTGACATTATGACTACTCCTATCATGGTCTTACATCAAAATACCAAAACAGACATTTCTTCAGACTGCAATCAATATCCACCTTGTTAATGAACTTTTTGCTGCACCAAATACCAAAATACTCATCATTTTAAAGAAAATAAATAAAAATATGTTATTTATTTTTAACCCTCCAGTCTGTTTGTTTTATGTCTTATGTTTCTGATAAACTTCACCAAGAATATCTACCACTCATAAGCCACAAGTTCTATGACAATAGAATATCTATAGAAATTCCCCTATCATATTGTTAAATACTTGAGCTTAACAACTTTAACAAAATATTTCAAAACAGTCAGAAATATGAAATGCTTGTTGTTATTGAAAGATATACACAGATGACACAGTATTGATAGCAGATACAGAAAAGAAATTACAAAACCTCCTACAGAAGGTAGTGAAGGAGAGTGAGAAAAAGGGACTAAGCATAAACTACAAGAAGACAGAATGCA